CCAGGAAGGCCACGATAAAGTCTCATCACTGAATCTGTCTACTGAAGGCTCTTAGATCCTTAGAATGAAATTTGATACGATATTTCTGTTTATTTTGACACAACATCCTTGACTGTCTAAGGTAACTAAGGTATGAGTTCAGGGTGGAAACTGTTCTATTTTGATACCCTTCTCCCAGAAGTGTGTGAACCTTACATCACCCAGGTGGGCTGAACCCAGAGGTCATTTCGGGGGGGGTTCACGGGGGATCGCAGTTCCCCCGGGTGAGGTACGGGGGCGGGGCACATGACGAAGCCCCGCCCCCTGCTTCCGGCCCTCATTCAGCCAGGAGGAGGCAGGAGAAGAGGGAGGGTAAGTTGCTTCCTCCCTGCCTCTCCCCACCCCTGCCTGCCTGGGGCCAGGGAGGGCCTTCGCGGGGCTTCCATGCACTCCCGCCGGCCTTGCAGGTCCACCACCGGGCCCCTCATGGGGCTCGGCAGTGGAGCTGCAAGGCCGGCAGCGGCGGCCGGGACAGTTGGGGGCGGGGTGTGTGGCCTTATGACACACTTCCGGTGATGTCAGGGGGTGTGGCATATGCTAATGAGTTATGCTAATGAGTTCCCCTGCTCAACGACCCCTGGCTGAACCTATGGGTACAGAGGATATGAATTGCTGAAGACTTCTTTGCTCTGGGCTGTTCATCAATCAGTTGTCTGTGAGCTCTCGTTTTTTTTGTTTTTGTTTTTTTAATAATATATTTATTGGGTTTTTAAAGAAAGAATAAACCTACACCATGGCATAGAAACAGTAACACCGTCAAAATTTACATACATAGACTAGAACCAATCTTTACACATCCAAGCTAAAAGGGTAACCAAAACCCTTGACATATACTGCAAATATGTTCTACATACAACTTCACCACTCAGTTCTATACACTAGCATTTAACCACTTCACCCTCGATCACGCATATTCCATAACAACTATCTTTTTCATGATGTAACTACACAATTATTTAAGTTAGCCTTAATAAGTCATGATAGGCAATATTCTCTCTTTGGTAAGATTCTCACAACATTTTCTTTGTCTTATGTTTCCACATTTTCAAGATATAATTAATCATCTTATTACATTCTACTTCTATAATTTGCACAATTCCTGTCTACTTTCCACTTCATTTATCAATGTTTCAATTATAATCAAAGCTATATATTCATTTTTTTCCTTTCTATAAACGTACATCTATACACACACACAAAAAGCATTTCAAGTCCTTATATTAATCTTCTTTTCTTTCCAATATTTCCAAATTTTCCTCTCCTATAATAGATAATTATTACAACTCACCAGTAATTTAAACCAGTAACTGAACATCCATTTCTATCACAACCTTATCTTTTATCCACCGTTTCTTCCCCCCCCCCCCCCAATTTATTTCATTCTGTGAGCTCTTGTTGACTAGACCAGGGCGCTCTGTATTTCACACCTGTTTTTTTTTCCCCCTTTTTCCCCCCCCCCCCCCCAATTTATTTCATTCTGTGAGCTCTTGTTGACTAGACCAGGGCGCTCTGTATTTCACACCTGTGCACTGTGTTTGTGTTGAAGTTATTCTATGCTGAATTGGAAATGCTGTGTTTTTGTCCTAAAAGATTTGTAAGTGCTAAAGTGCTTTCTGTCCTTAAGAAGCTTATATTGTAATAAACTGGTTTTGTTTAAGGCGGCCCCTACCTGGTGGAACGAGCTCCCGGAGGAGATCAGGGCCCTGTGGGACCTCTTGCAGTTCCGCAGGGCCTGCAAGACGGAGCTCTTCCACCAGGCATTTAAGTAGGGGCTGCTGCTGCTGCTGGCTCCTACTGCAGGTCGTTACAGCTGAGCATGGCCCGTGGTCTTAACAACAAATGGACTAAGAGCAGAAAACATTGTGGAACATCTGGGCAGTGGCAATTTATTCCTGTAATATACCATCTAGACTAATTTTAATCTGCCGCCAGCACTTTGTATTCATAATGTTTTATTGTATGGTGAATATTGTATATTTTAATGTATTTATGTTTTTATGGAAGCCGCCCTGAGCCCACTTGGGGGAAGGGCGGGGTATAAATTTGATAAATAAACAAACAAACAAACAAACTGTGGTCTCTCTCTATGGATTCAGTCCCTTGCCAGTCCCAACCAACCAATAAAGAAACTAAAGTGGAATGGGAGGGTCCCATGGAAACACTCCTGGGGTCCCAGAATCCCACAACAATAATATATAGAACTTGAATCATACAGATCTTTCCCATTAATATTCCCGAGCCTTTCGCAACTTGAATTCTTGCCATTCTTTCTGTACTTCTCTGCTGAGGAGGAGGAGGAGATTGGATTTATACCCCCTCCTTCACTTGAAGTCTCAGAGAGACTTACAATCCCTTTCCCTTCCCCACTCCACAACAGACACCCTGTGAGAAGGTGGGGCTGAGAGAGCTCTTTCCAGAACTGTCCTAGAGAGAACAGCTCTGACAGAACATGTGACTGACCCAAGGCCACCCAACTGGCTACGTGTGGAGGAGAGAGGGATCAAACCCTGTTCTCCCAGATTAGAGTCCACGCTCCTAACCACGACACCAAACCGGATCAGTTCAGCTGCCAGTACGACATCTAGGACCCCGGGTTTCTTGATGATACTGAGGACAACGGGGTCCCCAACATGGCGCCCGGTGACCTCTTTCCTGGTGCTGGCCAGGTGTTTTTAGGAACTGGATGGGGCCAGGTGGGGCTTCTGCCTAGCAAGGCTTCTGATTGGCCACTGGAGTTTCAATTGTGCAGATTTTTAAAAACGTTGCTTGGACCGCAACTGTCACCACCATACATAGATCTTTACCGTGTGGCTGAAGGGACGCTGCGGCTGCCATTTTGGTGACTGGCTCCACCTTGTGCTGCAGCCATTTTGGGGGCCGCGTCCACCACGCTGTGTCAGAATTCCAAAGGTGTCCCACAGGGCCAGTAAGGCTGGGGGCCCCTGGACAGGATGGCAGGGTAGGAAATTGGGGGGGGGGGACGATGACACAACAACTGCATACATAGGGCAAAGCATGCCTCTTCCCCTGCTCCACTGGCAAGGTGGGTGGGTCCGTCACACAACTTGAGTAACACCGACTTAATGGACGGAAAGGGGCTTGGAGGGAAGGCTGTGTCCCACCTCCGAACACTTTTTAGGGAAGCACCCATGTAAAGACCAATGCTCCCTCTAAGCTGTGGAGTCTTGTGAGCAAAAATTCTACTATGTGAGCTACCGGCATTCAAGCTGTGAGTGAGCAGTTTGGGTGCTGCATAAATTAGTCTGCTCTGGAGCCATCCTTCCTGAGCTAAGAAGAAGAGAGGAAGAGGTTGGATTTATACCCCGCCCTTCACTACCCAAAGGAGTCTCAGGGCAGCTTACAAATCTCCTTTCCCTTTCCCTCCCCACAACAGGCACCCTGTGAGGTAAAAGAAGAAGAAGAAGAGGTTGGATTTATACCCCGCCCTTCACTACCCAGAGGAGTCTCAGGGCAGCTTACAAATCTCCTTTCCCTCCCCCTCCCCACAACAGACACCCTGTGAGGTAAAAGAAGAAGAAGAGGTTGGATTTATACCCCGCCCTTCACTACCCAAAGGAGTCTCAGGGCAGCTTACAAATCTCCTTTCCCTCCCCCTCCCCACAACAGGCACCCTGTGAGGTAAAAGAAGAAGAAGAGGTTGGATTTATACCCCGCCCTTCACTACCCAAAGGAGTCTCAGGGCAGCTTACAAATCTCCTTTCCCTTTCCCTCCCCACAACAGGCACCCTGTGAGGTAAAAGAAGAAGAAGAAGAGGTTGGA